TGAAAAATCGGTACAGACGCGCAGCGCACACACAGACACACACACACAGACACACAACACACACACGCACAGACAACCTCTCGTCGATATGCGTTTTTCGCATTGCATTGCTGCAAAAAACGCATAAAAAATACCGGCAGCCATGAACATATCCACTTGTCCACGAATATCCTCGTCTGTTAGTTTGTATTCGTCACGAATGCTAAATAGCAAGTCCATAAATGCCAAACGTTTTTTACCGCTTGCCGAAAGTTCTTCCATTGATGGCTGGTGATCATATGCTTCCCACTCCTTCTTTTTTGCTGCTATTATCTGCAAAACGCGTCGAAAAGCTAGATATTTTCAAGGGAAAAATGAAGTTCTGAGGCAAAATTTTGCTGTGTAGCTGTGCTTCAATCGCAAAATGAATACAAAAAGGTGAAAAAAGTGAGGAAAGAATTTCGACTGAATTTCGATAACCTCCCGACCGCATGCGAACCTTCAAAACTGGAATCGACTCTCAGGTCACTCTATGAACTTAAATAAATTTGAAAACCTGAATAAAATGAGACACAAGCTTGAAATTTTTTAGAAAGAATGCATATGCGAGTGCGGTGATCCAAATCCAGAACCAAGAAAGCCTAGATGCTAAAATTTTAGGTCACATCTGCGCTATGCACGGACCAAAAATAATTTTTGGACGTATTTATGCCTAAAATCTATTATATAAGCTAAAATTTTGCATACTTCCGGATTAGTGCTTAAAGTCGGTACTGGAAATACGAAAGAAGTTTTTCTTTCGATTTAAATTTTTCTAGATAGGTTTTGCTTGCTGACGCAGGACCATCCCGATTTCTGCAGACTTAAAAATTCAATTCCCAAGAACTTCAAAGATCTTAATTTTTTTGGAAAAAGCAAAAATTCAATTAAGTTACTTTACTAGTCAAGCGTTTACACGTATTGCAGTAATAGTCCAATTTTTGGTCATAGCGGTAAAACCAACGAATAGGCGCAAACCAAAACCATGGGTAGCGGATGCGAGCCCACATCAGAAACAGCGCCGATCGCAGTGCTTCGTAGTATTCTTCGTTATTTCGACTATTTTGAACGTCAATTGTCACACCCATGGCTGTTTCTAGAACAAGTAGGTTGTACCCATGTCGAAACATCAGCCTTTACCGAACCGCTTTTTTTTAAAGCCCAAAACTCGATAACTGAAAAAACTAAGCACCTAGAATTTTTGACTTGTCAGAAAGTGCGCAGTGATTAACTTAAATTAGCTATAAGCTGACCGTTAACTTAAGAAGGCGAGCTGATAACTCGATGCTTTGAAATTTTATTCACCAATCGGTAAATGCATCTGAAATCAGCCCTTAAAACTTTTGGCCTAGTGAACCACGATTCCAGATCCAAATGAACACGATGTTTTGTTTCATGAATGGATAACAGTTATTTTATTCATGTTAAATTTGTCAAAACGATATATCTATATTATCACTAATATCTTCATCCTTGTTATCTCTTCTGCGCGTAAATATCAAAATCTCCCCTCCCCAC